AACCTGCCCCAGCGCCACTTTGTCCACCACAAATCCCACCTGACCAGACCCGGGGTCGAACCCGGGCCACCGCGGTGGGAAGCCAGCGACTAACCGCTTGAGCTATGGCGCGGCCTGCAATGAGAACCATATCTCGGGAAAGTGGCCGAGAAGTGAGTACCGGTTCTAGTAAAGCCTCTGTGCTGTTACTGAAGGCCAAGGCAACTTTGATACACAGATAAATACCATTTCTTTATGACAAAGATATAATAAACGAAGAATATATATATATTTACAGATACACGTTTCTGAACGATTTTCAAATGGTCTCTGAATATTTTACGAGTAAGTATTTGCCTCTTCCCATTACGGACTGTTGTTAGACCGCGTTTCTCGCATTTGATCCCAGAGAGTGACCATTTCCAGTACCGAAATCTGTCAATGGATATAGTCCTATGCCAGTTCAGTTACGTCAGAGCCTCACAACAGATTTCCGTATGATCCATTTAACTATTATCTAGCCTCCAATATCTTCTCGTCGTCCATGTGATTCTTTCCAAGAACTGACTACATCAAAACTCTGTGTTAATTTCTTATAAACCCCCGGAACTACATGTCCAATTAACTGCACCCCCTTTGCTTCGAAGGTCACCTGTTTAAGCATGTTAACTTTTTATTACGCACTAGTAGTAACGATAAATTGGTGTGCTCATTTGTTCAGTAATTAATATTGCAGAAGCCAACTGAATCCAGGCACCAGTAGTAACGACAGACTGGTGTGATCATCAGTTCAGTGACTAATACTGTAGAAGCCAACTGAATCCAGGCACCAGTAGTAAAGATAAACTGGTGTGCTCATTTGTTCAGTGACTAATCTAGTTCAAACTAAATTAATTCAGATAAGTGGTATGTATACAGAAAATCAGTCAGTAGCATGTAGGCAAATTATGAGTGTGGTCCAGTGCTTGAGAATGCTAACGATGGTGCCTTAGGCTTAGTATTACTCGTATTTACTTTTTGAACTATATCCACCTTCAGACGTTCTGAGAGAGAACATGTGTCGGGAACTCGCTCGGCTCCCGTTCTCAGGTGAGGGGTTCCTATTCAGGTGGATTTGTTAGACAGAGTCAATCCAAACCACTATACCTGTACGGACGGTTAACGCAAATA